TGTGATTATGAGCTAATGAATATATTAACATGAATAGTTTGTAAAGTGCCTATATGCTATATTTTCACAACATTTGTAAATGTAAAAATGAGCATTATCTAATATGTGAACTGAAGTTTAATGACATTTGTAAGCATTCAAAAGTACATTAACAAATAAGCTTGTAAATATTGTATAATTTCTGTTAAAATCATTTGTAGATTTTTAAAACGCATTGAAAGTTTAATGACATTTGTACACATTAACTAATGATCCATTAAGCATTATATAATATTTGTTAACAATTTATTAATGAAGCTTTTAATCATTGTAAACCATCTGTCAAAATCATTTGAAGATTTTTTTTTTTTTTAATGCATGATCATATGAATTGACATTTTCATGACATTGGTAATCATTTCAATTTACATTAAATAATGATCTGTTAATCATTTGGTAATGATTTATTAATAATGAAAGTTGAATATATATTAAGTAATGATGAGTTAAACATTATATAATGTTTGTTAATGATTTATTAATAATGAAAGTTGAATATATATTAAGTAATGATGAGTTAAACATTATATAATGTTTGTTAATGATTTATTAATAATGAAAGTTATTATAAAGTGTTACCAAATAATGCATATAATATATTAATGAAATAAAAGGCTACTTATCTGTAGGGATACTTGAGTACACTTTCATGATTTTAAAAAGTGCATTTTGTAATATTGTCAAATTAAAAGTTTTACTTTAAAGTACATTTTAAATCACCACATTTTAATCTTTTGTGGAGCTTTAAAGGAGTTTGCTTATTTTGATGTGTTGACTAACATACTAAAGCACATGTAAAGTACTTGATTATAATTTTAACGGCAATGTGTTATTTGATAATAAAAGCAGAAAAACTGCTCTGCTGTTTTCTACCAGGCATTTGATGCCTTCCCACCAAGCATGTGACAAATTTATTTAAAGGAACTGCCTACTGGCAAATCCTTTTTCTGAGCCATTTTAAATTGCCCATCAGGCTATAGTAGTGTTTTTTGACCACAATATTGAGTTGTCATCACTGACTGTAAACAAGCCTGACATAACTGTGGCATGAGAAAACTTCATGATGTCAAGAGAGCGGGAGCTGTGATGGCCACTAGTACATGTAGTACATGTTTAGATGCTGGAGGGTGGCCAGGATATAACCCTGGGGGATACTCATGTTGACACTGACTTTTATCAGAAATTGGCACTCAAAATGGAAACATTTACGTTTGCCCTCCTGAAGAATCTACAGTATTTTACAAAGTGCACAACTAATTCAGTCTGTGGATCCTCTTCAAAATTTATTTGATGCAGAGGTTTTCTTAGTAGTAAGTGCTAGTGTTTGGCACTTACCAATTGTTTTTGGTGTCAGACTGACACTGACAAATGCAGTACACTTTCTTACAGTATTTGGAGAGCAATTGTACTTCTAAATCCCATGCAAACTCTATCACGATTTACAGAGGTAGTTAAAGCCTGGCTCTGAGAATCAGGATTTCAAACTGAAATTACAATCTGCCAGTTCAAAATTATTCTACTTGAAGGTTGGTAGAATATTAAAGTTTTATTGGTAAAATACGAGTGAGTGAATGTACAAGACAGTAACCGAGGACTTGCCGAGTGCTGGTTTTATGTAAGATGTCTATGAAAAGCAGTCAGATGAAGTACAGAATCAGACTGAATTCATTTGGAGAGAGCAGTAAGGTTGCATCTGCATTAATTTACTTGTTTTGAAAATGTTCAAACATGCAAACCTGTACACAGTTGGGTGCATGTAAAAATATACAGATGCAATCAAAATTATTAAACCCTCTAAATGTCCAAGACATTGTGCTGCCATGAACAATTTTATCAAACAACTATCAGTAAACTATTATGGACATTTTCAAATAGCGCGGCCAAATATTGTCCTATCCTAACAAACCACACATCAATGGAAAGCTTATTTATTCAGCTTTTCAGATGATTTCTCAATTGACCCTTATGACTGGTTTTGTGGTCCAGGGTCACATATATACTTTGGGATGGTTTTCCTGCTGGAAAGTCCAATGTTAATCAAGCTCCAGTCTATGCACCAAAGGCATCACAATCTTGGACAAAATGGCCTGATACTTCAAAGAATCCATGATGTCCTTCAAACAGTTAAGATAACCTCTTCCTTTAACAGCAAAACACCCCCTTAACAAGACTGGAACACCTCCATGTTTGACCATGCATGGTGATGGTGTTCTTATGCGCATAAGTTTTGCCTTTTTTTGGACAAGGCATACTGCTGATCCATGGATCCAAAAGGTTCCTGATTTGCCACATCACTTCCTATCACATTCAGTACACATTATTTTAAGGACTTATTCTAACTATTAACTAGTTGCTTATTAGCATGCATATTACTAGCATATTGGCGGTTACTTAGCATTTATAAACCACATATTAATGCCTTATTCTGCATGACCATATTTTAGATCCCTTAAACCTATACCCCATACCGAAAATGTAACAAATACCCTACTAACTGACTAAAAAGCAGCAAATTAGAAGTTTACTGAGGGAGAAGTCATGGTTTAATAGTGAATATATGTTCCCTATTATAAAGTATTACCAAAAACATTGTGCATTGAAAAAAGTTCTTCATCAAACCATAGATACCAATAATGAAACATTATTTTTAGGATTGTATACTATGAAAAGGCCATTTATGACTATGACAGGAAAAAAAAAGACTATACATCCAAAAGCGCATTATCGCAAGTTGTTAACCAATTAGCTGCAGATTCGTGAAATATAACATTTACCATATATGCGCAGCCTAGTTGATGTCAGCTAAAAATGGAAATTGTTTCAGAGGTGAAGCAAGTTATTACACTCTGTTGAAATATTACAAAATATTTTTTTCTTTGGCTCTACAAGCAAGGGCTAAAAGGTCCGATGATTTTGTTTGACCTCTAGATAATCTGTTATGCTCTTAATACACACACACACACACACACACACACGTGTAAACAACGACCATGGTCAAACTGCAGTCAATAGCCACATTGCTGCAAGCACATGGATTTTCAAATTTTTAGTATTTACTTCTATAGAAATGCAGAAAGTGTTCTGTCTGGGTTATAATAGGAGTGCAACATAAGCATGGGCTACACACGTCAAGTCAAGTCAAGTCACCTTTATTTATGTAGCGCTTTTAACACTGGATCTGGTGGCAGCGGTGACCTTGGAATAAGAGAGAAACAGACTAATATTAGCGTAGATGCCATTCTTCTAACGATGTAGCGGGTACATCGGGTGTTATGGGAAGTGTTCCTGGTTCCGGTTGACCTAATTAATGCAGCCTAAAAATCCTTTAACGGATTTGAATATTAGAAGCGTATTAGTGTGTTATGTGTAAGCCAGGTTGAAGAGATGGGTCTTTAATCTAGATTTATACTGACAGAGTGTGTCTGCCTCCCGAACAATGTTAGGTAGGTTATTCCAGAGTTTGGGCACTAAAATAGGAAAAGGATCTGCCGCCCGCAGTTGATTTTGATATTCTAGGTATTATCAAATGGCCAGAGTTTTGAGAACGCAGCGGACATGGAGGACTATAATGTAACAAGAGCTCGTTCAAATACTGAGGTGTGGAAATACATGTGTGTGTATTAAGAGCATAACAGATTATCTAGAGGTCAAACAACATCATCGGTAGACCATTTTGTCTTCATCAGGATTGCGTGTTACCCTAGGGCTCAATCTGTTGTTCTAATGTCTACATCAAACATGAGTTCTTTGTTTTGCTTTTTCAAGTGCACATGTGACCGACAGATGTGTTGGTTTTCTGCAATCTAGAGTAGAGTACAATGCTAAATGCTATTCAGTTGCATGCTTATGAAGTCAGACATGAAATGTTTCGACAAAGCCATTCTATGGACAATCGTTCCTGATGTGCTGGAAGACTAATTATTAGTACTAATTCACAGTTAAGCACAGCTTTATGAGTGTCTGAAATGATAGCATAGAGGAAACAGAAGCAGCATAATATTAATGAAAATTCATGCTATTTTCCTGGCGAATTGACAGAGAAGGAAAAATAAAGAGAAAATTAATGAGCACACAAGGGCAGATTTTTTTTTCTTTAATTTCTGGGTAATTCTAAGAAACTAGTGCTCGATTGCTTTTTCCAAGCAGTTACGTAAATACATTTTTAAAATTACCCTTTTACACATCCAACATCACATATTCTGCCCTCATTTTGGTGTCTCTCTTTCCAAAGGTAGCCAAATAGATAAACTCTTTCCAACACGTAGACTTGTGGGAGAATGTTGCTTTATTCCACACCACATTGACAAAACAGGGTGAAACTACAGAAAGGAGAAGTATAGAGAGGCAATAGTTATCTCTAAGAACACAAAAATATCTCCATTTAGTGTCATTTATGGTATAGAGTTCTTCCACATTATAAACAATAAATTCAGCAAACTGAATACAAATTAACCATAAAAACTTAGACAATGCTTTCTACAGATGATCACAAGATGAATGACTGCTACAAGTTTGTTGTGTGAAGTTCTGCTTAAATAAAGAAACTAACTGAATTCAACTGCCTTAGAATGTTACTAAGGCAACTATATTTTAA